AGCAGTAAGGCTGACGTTTCGGGCCTAGACCCTTCATCAGAAATTTCCAGGCCCGAAACGTCAGCCTTACTGCTCCTATGATGCTGCTTGGCCTGCTGTGTTCATCGAACTCTGCACCTTGTTGTCTCAGACTTTCCAGCATCTGCAGTTCCTACTATCTCTCAGACATAAAAGTGGAACTTTTTTTCTCACTGATTTATATCTTTACTTTAAAAAGGCGACATTCTTCCAGCATTTGCAAAACATTTCCACTGATTGTATACATGCAGACGAAAGTCATTATGAATGGCATCATCTGTATCACCCATCGATCCTCCGCAGAAAGTCATGTAGCTTCCCTGCAAGATAATTGAGTGAAAGCAAGCTCTGTGTCCAAGACCAAATCGACCACTGGGAGAATTTTCCCTATGGCCAATGTGGTGACTTTTTGGAGTTAGATGTCCCAGAAGATCGTCTTCTTCTAAATGGTGGTACTCTTTTAAATGATAAAGCTTTGAAAATGTTTCATTTTCTGATTCTGACCTTGATGGACAACCATACACACTGCACAGCAAGCCTGGAGAGTGACTGGAACCTGGAATCCTGATTTTCTCCCTAGCCACCCACCCACCCAGCACCATGACACTGTGGTCAAATGTCATGTTCTATTGCTGAGTTTTTAAACACTGAAAAATACAGCTTTCTGTCTCAATATCTCTTTATTTGTCTCACTCAAGCTGGCCTGGCACGTTGCCGCTTCATAATGAGCTGTTTCCCACATTTTACTAAAAACAAAAGACACTGTCTGGGAACTTGTAGGCAAACAGACTGAGCTAATTATAGTATAATGTGCAAAAATGCTCACTCTCTACAAATTTTCTGGTCATTTACAATCTATTGACATATTATTTTAACTGTTGCCCTAGCAACGAAACATGTCAGGCTCCCCTCCCCCACACAATTCTATCTGCATGAGTCATGAGACTAAAAACAGAAGTGCAGAGCAGTATCTGGAAACATGTTATCAGCCCAATATAAAGTGCCAGTCCCGTCCATTGAACTTTCTGATTGTCTATGGCCATTGTTACTTTCAAAATTTATGCACTTTTCTAAAACCAGTGTTATAATTGTCCAACTGTGAGCTGCACTTTGCTTTTTTGAGTGAGTAGTCCGTGATGCTGTTTGCTTGCCCCTTCATCTGAATCAATAAATAAATTCTCTCCCTTCTGTTCAACTCTCTCTCCATGGTCTCATCCCTCCTTACCAAACCCTTCTGCCCTTCACCTATGCATTAAAAACATAAGAACATAAGAACTAGGAGCAGGAGTAGGCCATCTGGCCCCTCGAGCCTGCCCCGCCATTTAATAAGATCATGGCTGACCTTTGAGACTCAGCTCCACTTACCCGCCCGCTCACCACAACCCTTAATTCCTTTACTGTTCAAAAATTTATCTCGCCTTGCCTTAAAAACATTCAGCGAGGTAGCTTCAACCGCTTCACTGGGCAGGGAATTCCACAGATTCACAACCCTTTGGATGAAGAAGTTCCTCCTGACCTCAGTCCTACATCTGCTTCCCTTTATTTTGAGGCGATACCCTCTAGTCCTAGTTTCACCTGCTAGCGGAAACAACCTCCCTGCCTCCACCTTATCTATTCCCTTCATCATTCTTCTGAATTCCAATGAGTATAATCCCAGCCTACTCAGTCTTTCCTCATAATCCAACCCTCTCAACTCTGGAATCAACCGAGTGAATCTCCTCTGCACCCCCTCCAATGCTAGTATATCTCTTCTCAAGTAAGGAGACCAAAACTGCACACAGTACTCCAGGTGTGGCCTCACCAGGACCCTATACAGCTGCAGCATAGCCTCCCTGTTTTTATACTCCATCCCTCGAGCAATGGCAGACAAAATTTCATTTGCCTTTTTAATTACCTGCTGCACCTGCAATCCTACTTTTAGCGATTCATGCACAAGGACACCCAAGTCCCTCTGCACAGCAGCGTGCTGCAATTTTTTACCATTTAAAACATAGTCCATTTTACTGTTATTCCTACCAAAATGGATGACCTCACACTTATCAACATTGTACTCCATCTGCCAGACCTTTGCCCACTCACTTAGACTATCTGTATCTCTCTGCAGACTTTGTGTCTTCTGCACACTTTGCTCTACCACTCACCTTAGTGTCATCTGCAAATTTTGACACACCACACTTAGTCCCCAACTCCAAATCATCTATGTAAATTGTAAACAATTGAGGTCCCAACACTGATCCCTGAGGCACCCCACTAGCCACTGACCGCCAAGCAGAAAAACACCCATTTACCCCTACTCTTTGCTTTCTACTGGTCAACCAATCCTCTATCCATGCCAATACATTACCTGTAATACCGTGGAACTTTATCTTATGTAGCAGCCTTTGGTGTGACACCTTGTCAAATGCCTTCTGGAAATCCAGATACACCACATCCACAGGTTCCCCATTGTCCACCATGCAAGTAATGTCCTCAAAGAATTCCACCAAATTAGTTAAACATGACCTACCCTTCATGAATCCATGCTGGGTGTTCCCAATGGGACAATTTATAACCAGATGTCTTGCTACTTTTTCCTTAATGATAGATTCAAGCATTTTCCCCACTACCGAAGTTAAGCTAACTGACCTATAGTTACCTGCTTTTTGTCTACTTCCTTTTTTAAACAGTGGCGTCACATTGGCTGTTTTCCAATCTGCGGGAACCACCCCAGGGTCCAGTGAATTTTGGTAAATAATTACTAGTGCATTTGCTATTTCCCCTATCACCTCTTTTAGTATCCTGGGATGCATTTCATCAGGGCCAGGAGACTTGTCTACCTTTAGCCCCATTAGCTTGCCCAGCACTGCCTCCTTAGTGATAATGATAGTTTCTAGGTCCTCGCCTGCTATAACCTTCTTGCCATTAGTTTTCGGCATGTTATTTGTGTCTTCCACTGTGAAGGCCGACACGAAATAAGTGTTTAATGTCTCGGCTATTTCCTCATTCCCAGTTATTAAATTGGCCTTCTCATCCTTTAAAGGACCAATGTTTACCTTCGCCACTCTTTTACGATTTACATATTTATAGAAACTTTTGCTGCCTGTTTTTATATTCTGAGCTAGTTTACTCTCATAATCTATCTTACTTTTCTTTATAACTTTTTTTGTGGCTTTCTGTTGGCCTTTAAAGATTTCCCAGTCTTCCAGTTTCCCACTACTCTGCTTTTTTGTATGTGTTATTTTTCAATCTGATACTTTCCTTTATTTCCTTAGACATCCATGGCTGGCTGTCTCTTTTCCTACAGTTCTTCCTTATCACTGGAATATACTTCTGCTGAGCACTGTGAAAAATCATTTTGAAAGTCCTCCACTGTTCCTCAATTGACCCACCTTAAAGTTTTTGCTCCCATTCTACCTTAGCTAACTCCTTCCTCATTCCTTCATAGTCTCCTTTGTTTAAGCACAGGACATAGGTACTGGATATAACCTTCTCACGCTCCATCTGTATTTTAAATTCGATCATACTGTGATCGCTCCTTCCTAGAGGATCCCTAACTGTGAGATCATTAATTATTCCTGTCTCGTTACACAGGACTGGATCTAGGATAGCTTGCTCCCTTGTAGATTCCATTACATATTGTTCAAGGAAATTATCGCGGATGCATTCTATGAATCCCTCCTCAAGGCTGCCATGACCGACCTGGTTTGACCAATCGATATGTGGATTAAAATCCCCCATGATAATTACTGTACCATTTG